TTTGTTGTTCATGTGTGTCAGTTCACAGGCAAATGGAGGAATGAGCCTGCTTAGACTTGCTTCTTCAACTCATCGTTCTGTTTCATCTCGACTCTTGAGGCTCAGCATCTTCCTCCTGCTTAGCCTCCCTGACGCAGAAGGAAAAGCCATTTGGACAGCCCACCTGAACATAACATTTCAGGTGGGAAACCGCATTATATCCGAACTAGGAGAGAGTGGAGTATTCGGGAATCATTCTCCCCTGGAAAGGGTGGCCGGTGCGGTGGTACTTCCGGAAGGATGGAATCTGAATGCTTGTCATTCTCTGACCAACTTCAGCAGGCCTCAGCTGGAAGACTCTTGGTTGGCCCTCATTGAACGGGGAGGCTGTACTTTTACGCATAAAATCAATGTGGCAGCAGAGAAGGGAGCCAACGGCGTGATCATCTATAACTATCCAGGTACTGGCAACAAAGTATTTCCCATGTCTCACCATGGCACGGGGAATACAGTCGCAGTGATGATAGGCAACTTGAAAGGCCTGGAACTCCTGCACTTGATTCAGAAAGGAGTCTACGTGACGATCGTCATCGAAGTGGGGAGAATGCACATGCCATGGCTGAGCTATTACGTCATGTCTCTGTTCACCTTCCTGGCTCCCACCGTCGCCTACCTCTTCTTGTACTGCGCCTGGAGGCCACGAGCGCCCAACTCTTCCACCAGGAGGCGAAGACAGATAAAGGCAAATGTGAAGAAAGCAATTGCTAAGCTTCCACTGCGGGTGCTCAGAGAAGGGGATAAGGAACTCGATCCCAATGAACACAGTTGTGTTGTTTGCTTTGACACATACAAACCCCAAGATGCAGTACGTATTTTAACTTGCAAACATTTTTTCCACAAGGCGTGCATTGACCCCTGGCTTTTAGCCCGGAGGACGTGCCCCATGTGCAAGTGTGACATTCTGAAAACTTAAGAAACCCAGAGAATTTTCTGAAGATGTAACCAAGTCTTTTCAAAGATTAAAATTAGATGAGTTCTTTTAGCACTATATGTAGAGAGAAAATTCAACTCCAGCTTCTCTACCCAAGTACCAAAGAGGGTGAAATTTGTGTGTTTTTAAAATAAAACTCCATATCATGCTCACCTATTTGAACTTGTTGTTTTTCTAAGAAGTTTTAGTTGTTATACATTTTTGCTCTTATTTGCATAAGGACATTAGCATATGTTAAAAGCAAATTAGTCTTTACCTTCAAGTTACAATGTCACATTGATGTCACAGAGAGTTAGTCATAATATTTTAATGCAGTGGTTCTCAACCTTCCTAATGCCGCGACCCTTTAATACAGTTCCTCATGTTGTGGTGACCCCCAATTTCATTGTTACAAATTGAACATAATTAAAGCATAGTGATTAATCACAAAAACAATATGTAATTATATATGTGTTTTCTGATGGTCTTAGGCAACCCCGTTAAATGGTTGTTCGACCCCTAAAGGGGTCGCGACCCACAGGTTGAGAACCACTGTTTTAAAGGTTTTTATGTTAATTTTTATACTTTGTTACCATAGTTTCTTTAACATTTGATATCTAATAATATCTCTGCTTAATAAACTTTATTATAGGATAAGATATTGATTTAATGCTCCGTTAATTAATTTTATTAATAACCAAAGGATCTGGTTTCCAGAGTTACTAACTGGGTAGGTAGTATCCTATATAATAAAAGCGTAGATGCAAATTGTCTCCTCGACTGGGAGTTGTCCGGGAGTTCAACCAGGGGGTAGGACAGGCCGGGGGAAGGGAGGGAGGCCCTGGCTGGCATCTGGCAGCCACTAGGATCCCTACCAGTGCATGGATTTCATGCACTGGGCCTCTGATATTCTTAATAATTATTTTAGACTAGAGGCCCAGTGCACGAAATTCGTGCATGGGTTGGTTCCCTAGGCCTGACCGGTGATCAGAGCCCATTGGGGCCTTCTGGCTGCTGGCCAGGGCCTTCCTTCATTCTGCGCCACCCCCGGTGGTCAGCGTATGTCATAGCGAGCGATTGAACTCCTGGTCTCCCAGTGGAACTCCTGAGGGGACACTACGCATATTAGGGTTTTATATGTATAGATGATAGCACTTTTAGTTATGTAACTAAAACTGTTTTAAATTGTTATAGGTCTCATTTAGGGCAGCATTGCAAAAAATCGCCTTTGTTTACCAGAGCACTTTAAATCCTACCATAGTAGGATTCAGCTATGGTCATCAGATTTCCCTTCTAGAAATAAGCTAGTAAATGCTTTTCTTCTCAAAATACTGGTCTCTCTCTTTAATAATGTAGAAAGTGCAGAGTTGAAATTTTCAGTTGCCCTTCTGAATTCTGTCTTTTGCTTTACTTTGCCTTTTACTCTTTTCAAGCATATGAATAAACCCCTCTGTAATCATGAGAGACTGAAAGATTTGGGTTACATTGTTTTGATGAAAATCTCTATGGACAATATGCTGAACCACTGATGTCCCACTCAGATGGCACTTTGTGTGTCCACACACTTCATACTAACTATACTGTTTTTTTTAAAGAGTGGACTGTATGGAAGTACAATCAGATTAATGGCCTTTGGTTAAGGAAATTGACCATTATGAGCTGAGCATTTCATGTCAGTAGTCTCTTATTCTCCTTTTTGCTGGGCACACATGGCCCTTTTCTCCTTCCTCTTTCCTGCCTCAAGTAATCGTGCTGTTGATTCACAATTCATAAGAAGTACTAGCATCCATTGTCCTAGTGAGACCCAACCAAAAGTGTCTCTTAGCATCCTGTGCATAGAGGTGAGAGGCATTCATGTTCAAGGTCAAAATCCTTCACTGATTTCCTAGCTGGTGAATAAGAACCACTCAAATATACCCCCCAAAAAGTGTATGGCAGCCCCAGTGACTGCCCATGTTTGTTAGTTCACACTCTTTGGCTTGAATGTCAGATGGTGCCATTGACATAAGTGTAGCTAAAATACAGGCAGAGCTGACAGTGTGTATGTGAGGTCTTCCTCTAGGGATGTTTGTTGATTTTGGCAAACATTTTATTAAAAACATCTGTGGCCTTTAATAGTCACTGCTGTGGTTGTTGTTTTTTAAAATATATTTTATAGATTTATTTTTTTTTTTATAGAGAGGAAGGGAGAGGGATACAGAGTTAGAAACATCGATGAGAGAGAAACATCGATTCAGCTGCCTCCTGCACGCCCCCTACTGGGAATGTGCCCGCAACCCAGGTACATGCCCTTGACCGGAATTGAACCTGGGACCCTTCTGTCTGCAGGCCGATGCTCTATCAACTGAGCCAAACTGGTTAGGGCTGTGGTTGATTTTAAGTGGGGACCTTGAAACTCTTCTTTTTAAAATTAGTAGTTACACTTTTGTTGACAATGAGTTATACTAAACTAAAACTGTTGTATTTAAACTTTCCTGCACCCTTCCTTTTCTTCCCTCAAAATATTGTTAGATTATTATCAGATGTCAAGGTCTGCAGAGAAATGAGATTCATGTTTCTGTCTTTCCTGCTGTCATTCCTATATCTGATCAGTGTTAAGTGTGAGGAAGTGAGGCTGGTGTCATTTAACAGGATACCCTACTTTAAAAAATCAAATCCACACCAAACTTCTGAGGAAGCTTTTAAGTCAATTTAGTACAGTGGTTTACATGATAAGTAAAAAATGTGCATTTTAACCAAATGTGAGTTAAAAATGGTATTACAGAATTCGTCATTTTTACCATGTATTTGGCGGCAGTGCTAATTTTAAATTATTTTAAAACTTGCCATTTTGTTGAAAATATTTATTTTGAAGAAAAATTATAGTTATACTAGTGTCCCAGTGCATGGATCTGTGCACATTGAAAGGAAATTAATTAGAAGAAATATTTTAATATCGGTGTTTGCATCTTGCTAATGGAAAGAAAATTGGATTCTACCGAGTCTCCTATCTACCTACTCCAGGACTTCTGTGAGGATCAAATGAGATGAGGCACGGGAAAACACTTCACAAACATTTGGTTAAACTGTAAAGTGTTTGCACCTGGCTATAAAGCAAGTGGGGTTCCTGGGCTGAAGAAACTCCAAGGATGCTAGTTGCTAGGGAGAGGAAGCCAGGCGTTGCTACGTGATGTCATTACCCAGCGCCCACAGCCACTTTTTCTGGGCTGAGCTGTGGTCCGCATTTTGCACCACGGGGTCTCGGCAGCGTTGGTGGGTGTCACTCTCGGGTGGCAGTGGGGCCTGTGTCCCACTTGGGGGAAGCTGAGTGTTGGTTTGTTGGTGCCAGGTCTGTGGTGCCATTTATTTTTAAATAGCCAGTGCACATCATGACATCTCCTGCGTTGAGTGTTTGCCCCCTGGTGGTCAGTGCGCATCATAGCTACTGGTTGGACAGACGCTGACACTTAGCCATATATATATATGTGTATGTATGTATATGTGTAAATGTGTGTGTGTGTATATATATATATACACACACACACACACACACACACACACACACACTAGATGGCCATTGCACGAAATTAGTGCATGGGTAGGGTCCCTAGTGGCTGCTGGCTGCCAGCCCTGGCCTTCCTTTTTTCCGCGCCACCCCCTGGTGGTCAGCACACGTCATAGCGAGTGATCGAACTCCAGGTCAGTGGAACTCCTGAGGGGACACTGCATAGTAGGCTTTTATATATATAGATAGCTTTCTTCCATATGCATATCCGTTCAGGTTTTAAAATGCATGTGTTGTATGAATTTTATATTTAATTTTTAGTTTAATTGTGGTATCTGCTAAAATTATTTGCCACTCAGGGATGAAATCTAGCTTATAACAACTTAGAAAAATTACCCATAACAACATTGACGCCTTCAAGCCAATTTATTTTACAGGATGCTCTAAGCCAGCGGTTCTCAACCTGTGTGTCGTGACCCCTTTGGCGGTCGAACGACCCTTTCACAGGGGTCGCCTAAGACCATCCTGCATATCAGATATTTACATTATGATTCATAACAGTAGCAACATTACAGTGATGAAATAGCAACGAAAATAATTTTATGGTTGGGTCACAACATGAGGAACTGTATTTAAAGGGCCAGAAGGTTGAGAACCACTGCTCTAAGCTCTTATCTAATTGGCTGTTGCCTTTTATGTCATAATCACATCACCCAACAAACAGTAAGCAGTATGTAGAGTTACAGCAGTGAAACTAGGATTTTTTTCCCCCAATGTAAAGTTTTTCTCTCTCTGCCTCTAATAAAACATCTGCAACTCATACAACATCTTTAAGAATTTCTCACAAAAACATGCTGGAAGACGGTGGAACCTGTTTTCACCCGGAAGATTTTTTTCATTTTGTTATTTTAAATTGATTGCCAACAGATGTGGGAGCCATCTCTTTTCATTGGATCGGTCCTTGGCTTATTAGGCAGAGAGAGATGAATCTACTCCAGATTGGCACTCAGAGAAACAGCACTGTGTCGACCTGGCTGGCGAAATTTACTCTTCTTTGGCTGCTTAGTCGGAACTGCTGCAGAGCCAGCGCTGTTTGGACCGCTTACATGAACATATCATTTCATGTTGGGAACCGCATGCTGTCAGAGTTGGGGGAAACTGGAGTATTTGGAAGAAGCTCCACTCTGAAGAGAGTGTCCGGAGTTATTGTGCCACCAGATGGAAAATCGCAGTATGCCTGCAGTCCCAGCACCAGCTTCAGCAGATCGAAGAACTCAAAGGTGTGGCTCGCACTTGTTGAACGGGGAGGTTGTCCCTTCACACAGAAAATTAAGGTGGCCGTTGAGAAGGGAGCCAGCGGAGTGATCGTCTACAACTTCCCAGGGACCGGCAACCAGATTTTCCCCATGTCTCATCAGGCCTTTGAAGACATTGTGGTCTTGATGATTGGTAACTTAAAAGGCATGGAGATTCTGCACTTGATTCGGAAGGGAGTTCATGTTACAGTCATGGTGGAGATGGGGAGGAAACACATCATCTGGATGAATCACTATTTTGTCTCTTTTTTGATTGTCACCACCGCTACGTTTACGTACTTCGTCTTTTATCATATTCGAAGACTTTGGGTAGCCAGGGTTCAGAGCAGGAGATGGCTGCGCTTAGCAACAGATCTCAAGCTAGCATTTGGCCAGCTTCAGCTCCGGGTACTGAAAGAAGGGGATGAGGAAGTAAGTCCCAACGGAGACAGCTGTGTAGTTTGCTTCGAGCTCTACAAGCCTAATGACACAATTCGTATTCTGACTTGCAAACATTTTTTCCACAAGAATTGCATCGACCCCTGGATTCTGTCACATGGAACATGCCCCATGTGCAAGTGTGACATTCTTAATGCTTTGGGAATCCGAGTGGATGTTGAAGACGGAACACAGTCACTGCAAGTTCTGATGTCAAATGAATGGCCTGGTATTCTATCACCTAGTGAAGAGGGGACCGCCAGTGAACTTCCTCCTGCAAGGCAGCCAGATAAAGCGACCCACATGGGAGAGGCGGCGGAGCGTCCTCCTTCCCCGAATGACAGCCAGCCTAACTCGGCAGAAGACGTTCATCCTTCACCTTGATAGCATGACCTTTGAGGAAGCGGATTAAACCTGTTTGTCAAACCAGGTTCTAATACTGACAAGCAGTTTGCTTGAAGTGTGGTTTTGTGTCCTTTTTTGTTACTTTGGTAATTTTCTACATTCTTTGTCAAGCCCTAAAGACAGAAAAAAAAGAAAAGAAAAAAGGCCTAGCAGGATTTAAAAAAAAAAAATCTTTGCTAAATGTAACTTTTTGTCAATGTATGTTACTCCTGTGAGTATAGATGTTTATTTGTATGTACACATGCATGTTAAAAGCAAGGACAAACTTTTCTCCCTAGGTGTTTTTTGTATTATATATATTGACTTTATTTTAGTAGGAAAATTGTTAATATATTTGCATGTTCCTTATAATCCCAAAGCTATAAATTAAGCTTGAAAAACTAGTTATCTTTGCTGTGCTAGGAAGAGTAAAATGTATCTTTTGATAGTTATAGTACAGTATAATTTGACCTCATTGTGCTATATGTTTTTATTCTTGTCATAAAGATTTGCTTTATAGAATTTTACTCTTGGCAAATAATTCTGTTCAAGCAATTAGTACATTCAATGTGATCTGCAATCTTAAAAATAAAATAGTAGCACTCTTAAAGTGACCAGCAAATATTTCAGTGCCCAATATTTCTTATCATAATTGTTACATGTTCATAGTGTGTAGAAAGGCTTAAATGATAAAGAATTCCTAAGATATTTAATCACGGTGTATTTACTTCCTATATGTTTTGTATTACCCAATTTATTTATTTATTGCTATTAAATATTTAAAATATTCCAGATTATTTTGGAGATAAGTGTCACACTGTAGAATTTTAATATGACATCTTGGGATTCTGTTCATTTTGTTCACTGTGTTTTCAGGAATATGGGGCAGAGCTGGACATTTGAATATGTGTGAGTGAATGAATAATGATAAATACCTTTTTCATAATGTAACTATTATGTGTTAATCTGGAAAAACTGGGCAGTTTATCCCAATTGTAAATAATGGGACCCTAATCATGAAAATGCTCATCCTAAATCACTTTGACAAAATAGAAAACTACAATTATTAGCCCAGAATTCATTATTATAACTTAGTATGCATACTTTTTTTTCCCCCCCTTAGGTTTTTTTTTTTTTTTATTAAGGTATTACAAATGTGTCCTCATCCCCCCCATTAACCCCCAACCTCCCCCCCCCACACACACACAAACTCATGCTCCCATCCCCCTGTTGTCCATGTCCATTGGTTTGGCTTATATACATGTATACAAGTCCTTCGGTTGATCTCTTCCCCTTACCCCCGCCCTCCCCTACTTTCCTTCTGGGGATTGATAGCCTGATCGCTGTTTCTCAGTCTTTGGATCTGTCCCTTTTCATCAGTCTATGTTGTTCTCTATAATCCACAAATGAGTGAGATGATGTGGTATTTATCTTTCTCTGACTGGCTTATTTCACTTAGCACAATGCTCTTCAGTTCCATCCATGCTGTTGCAAAAGGCAAGAGTTCCTTTTTTTTTTTTATTACCGCAGCATAGTATTCCATTGTGTAGATGTACCACAGTTTTCTAATCCACTCATCTGCTGATGGGCACTTAGGCTGTTTCCAAATCTTAGCTATGGTGAATTGTGCTGCTAAGAACATAGGGGTGCATATATCCTTTCTGATTGGCGTTTCTGGTTTCTTGGGATATGTTCCTAGTAGTGGGATCACTGGGTCAAATGGGAGTTCCATTTTTAGTCTTCTGAGGTAGCTCCATACTGTTCTCCACAGTGGCTGCACCAGTCTGCATTCCCACCAGCAGTGCAGAAGGGTTCCTTTTTCTCCACATCCTCTCCAACACTTGTTTGTTGATTTGTTGATGATAGCCATTCTGACAGGTGTGAGATGATAACGCATTGTCGTTTTGATTTGCATCTCTCGTATAATTAGTGACTTTGAGCAGGTTTTCATATGTCTTTCGGCCTTCTGTACGTCCTCTTTCGAAAAGTGTCTATCTAGGTCCGTTGCCCATTTTTTTATTGGATCGTTTATCTTCCTTTTGTTAAGTTTCATGAGATCCCTGTAAATGTTGGAAATTAAACCCTTATCGGTGGTATCATTGGCAAATATGTTCTCCCATGTAGTGGGTCTTCTTGTTGTTTTGTTGATGGTTTCCTTTGCTGTGCAAAAGCTTTTTATTTTGATGTAGTCCCATTTGTTTATTTTCTCTTTAGTTTCCATTGCCCTAGGAGCATTATCAGAGAAGAAATTTCTTCGGCATATGTTTGCGATTTCGCTGCCTGTGGATTCCTCTAGTATTTTTATGGTTTCCCGTCTTACGTTTAAGTCTTTTATCCATTTTGAGTTTATTTTTGTGTATGGTGTGAGTTGGTGATCTAGTTTCATCCTTTTGCATGTATCTGTTCAATTTTCCCAACACCATTTATTGAAAAGACTGTCTTGACTCCATTGTATGCTCTTGCCTCCTTTGTTGAATATTAATTGGGCATAGTGGTTTGGGTCGATTTCTGGGGTCTCTATTCTATTCCATTGATCTATATGTCTGTTCTTGTGCCAGTAGCAAGCTGTTTTAAGAACAGTGGCTTTGTAATACAGTTTGATATCTGGTATTGAGATCCCACCTACTTTGTTCTTTCTCAGGATTGCTGCAGCTATTCGGGGTCTTTTTTTATTCCAGATGAATTTTTGGAACGTTCGTTCTAGATTTGTGGTAATTTAATGGGGATTGCATTGAATCGATAAATTGCTTTGGGTAGTATGGACATTTTGATGATGTTGATTCTACCAATCCATGAACACGGTATATTCTTCCATCTGTTTATGTCTTCCTCTATCTCTTTTTTCAGTGTCCTGTAGTTTTCAGCATATAAGTCTTTTACCTCCTTAGTTAAGTTTATTCCTAGGTATTTTAATTTTTTTGGTGCAATGGTAAATGGGATTGCTTCTGTAGTTTCACTTTCTGTAAGTTCACTATTGGTGTAGAGAAATGCCATGGATTTCTTAGCATTAATTTTGTATCCTGCTACATTGCTGAATTCATTTATTAAGTCTAATAATTTTTTGATGGAGTCTTTAGGTTTCTGTATGTACAGTATCATGTCATCTGCAAATAAGGACAGTTTTACTTCTTCTTTTCCAATCTGGATGCCTTTTATTTCTTCTTCGTGTCTGATCGCAACGGCTAGTACTTCCAGTACTATGTTGAACAGGAGTGGTGAGAGGGGGCATCCCTGTCTTGTTCCTGTTTTTAGGGGGAATGGTTTTAGTTTTTGCCCATTGATTATGATGTTGGCTGTGGGTTTGTCATATATGGCTTTTATTATGTTGAGGTATGATCCCTCAATTCCTATCTTGCTGAGAGTTTTTATCAAGAAAGGGTGTTGGATTTTGTCAAATGCTTTTTCCGCATCAATTGATATGACTATGTGGTTTTTCTCTCTCAATTTGTTTATGTGATATATCACGTTTATTGATTTGCGGATATTGTACCACCCTTGCATCCCTGGGATAAATCCTACTTGGTCATGGTGTATGATCTTTTTGATGTACTGCTGAATCCGATTGGCTAGGATTTTGTTGAGGATTTTGGCATCTATGTTCATGAGGGATATTGGCCTATAATTCTCTTTCATTGTATTGTGTTTATCTGGTTTTGGGATTAGGGTGATGTTGGCTTCATAGGATGAGCTGGGAAGTGTTCCTTCCTCTTGGATCTTTTGACATAGTCTGAGGAGGATAGATTTTAGGTCTTCCTTGAATGTTTGGTAAAACTCCCCTGTGAAGCCATCTGGCCCCGGGCTTTTGTTTGCTGAAAGCTTTTTGATTACTGCTTCGATTTCCTCCATAGTTATTGGCCTATTGAGATTTTTAGATTCTTCCTGGTTAAGTTTTGGAAGGTTGTATGTATCTAGGAATATGTCCATTTCCTCCAGGTTGTCTAGTGTGTTGGAGTAGAGTTGTTCATAGAATTTTCTAACAATCCTTTGTATTTCTATGGGGTCTGTTGTTATTTCTCCTCTTTCATTTCTGATTTTGTTTATTTGGGTCCTCTCTCTTTGTTTCTTGGTGAGCCTGGCTAGAGGTGTATCAATCTTGTTTATCCTTTCAAAGAACCAGCTCTTGGTTTTGTTGATCTTTTGTATTGTTTTTTTTGGTCTCTATGTCGTTTATCTCCGCTCTGATCTTTGTTATTTCCTTCCTTCTGCTTACAGTGGGCCTTTTTTGTTGCTCTCTTTCTAACTCTTCGAGTTGTAGAGTTAGCTCATTTATTCTCATTGTTTCTTGTTTCTTGCAGTAGGCTTATAGAGCTATGAACTTCCCTCTCAAGACTGCTTCTGCTGTGTCCCATAGGTTTTGGATTGTTGTGTTTTCATTGTCATTTGTTGCCATGATGTTTTTTATTTCTTCTTTGATCTCACTGGTAACCCAGTCGTTGTTTAATAGCATGCTATTTAGTCTCCATGTGTTTGATTTTTTTGGATTGTTTTTGTTGTAGTTGATTTCCAGTTTTATGCCTTTGTGGTCTGAGAAGATGCTTGATATGATTTCAATTTTCTTGAATTTGAAGAGACTTTGTCTGTGACCCAATATATGGTCTATCTTTGAAGATGACAAATGTGCACCTGAGGAGAATGTATATTCTGTGGCTTTGGGGTGAAATGTTCTGAAGATGTCAATTAATTCCATCTGATCTAGTGAGTCATTTAGGATTGATGTTTCTTTGCTGAGTTTCTGTTTAGAGGATTTGTCCAGTGGAGATAATGGGGTGTTAAGGTCCCCTACTATGATTGTATTGCTGTCAATCTCTCCCTTGATCTCCTCCAGAAGATTTCTTACGTATTTGGGTGCTCCTATATTGGGTGCTTATATATTTACCAGAGTTATTTCTTCTTGTTGGACTGCTCCCTTTAGTTTTATGAAGTGGCCTTCTTGATCTCTTTTTATGTCCTTCACTTTGAGATCTAATTTGTCAGATATAAGTATTGCTACCCCGGCTTTTTTTTCACTTCCATTGGCCTGAAAAACCTTTTTCCATCCCTTCACCATCAGTCTGTGTGCGTCTTTTTTTCTGAGGTGGGTTTCCTGTAGACAGCAGATATATGGGTCGTGTTTTCTTATCCACTCATTTACCCTATGCCTTTTGACTGGGGAATTTAATCCATTTACATTTAAAGTTATTATTGATAGAAACTTGTTAGTCGCCATTTTTGTTCTTTACCGCTGCATTCCTTCTTTGTTTCCTGTTTTTTCTATTTACAGCAGACCCTTTAGCATTTCTTGCATTGCTGGTTT